AAGCTTTACCATTGAACTAGCAAATTGCCATTCCTGGGAATGATGATTTGAAAGCGATAAATACTGTATGCAGATCTGCATCTCCACTTTCAGAGCCACATGGACCACTTGTGAGGTACAAGGGATCTCTCCTCAAGACCATGCTAAACCATGCCTTTCATCTCTCAACATGGGAAAACCAAAACTCAACACACAATTAGACTCCATTTGAGCAGAAGTATTTGTCTGACCCATTACCTTAGGTGTTTAATCACCTAAGTTGATCAACTATTAATTTATTGTGGACACTACATCATTATTCATTTATTCCTCTGTGTGAAACTATTTGACACTCTGTTATATTAACTTAGCTACTTTTTGTTACTTTTCACTTGACAATGATATCTTAATAAATACTTTAATAATTAAATAAGTAAGTACACAATTTCCTCCTGATAAAAATGTGAAAAGCAAAACAAGGAAACTAACAACGAAAAAATTCAAACGTTGAAATACCGAGGATCATGTGATGTAAAGTAATAACAACTAATAGTACTGTTCATGGAGATGTACGTACCAGAACTATAAACAAGTCTACAACACGCCAGTGGCACATACAACCTGAGATTAACCCGGTTTCTGTAGCATGAAGCAACAAGAATATTTCTACTCCTCCCTGGAAGGGATGCATGCGATAGTCCATCGCTGCTTTACCCCCCGTATTAAAATTTGTTGGTGCTCTTTTATACACTCTATAGTTTAATTTGCTTCAGTGCACAGTATTTACAAATATTGATCAACTCAATCTTTTCTGATAAGTATTCTTGTATCCATTTGCTTTTGATCTGTAATAGCTTGGAACGAACACTGACCTTCAGTCCCAGCAGTCAAAGGCCGTAAAGAATATTTGTTTTTGTTATGCCTAAAAACTGTTGTGCAAGCTATTAACATTTGCAAACTATTGTGCAAACATATCACTTCACAGCAGGCTTAGCAGACATATCAGTAAGAGCTGGATATGAAGGCTTGAGAAATTATTTACGAAGTAGGGTAGACGTGCACTCTATCTGGATGGTATCTTGAATTGCAACTCGAACCTGAGTCAACAGTGGTGAATCCAGACCTTGAACTAAGGGGGTGGGTGTTGCTTGCCCTACCGGTTTTTCTTCCTTCTTTGATATTTTTATCTTTTACCCAAAATAAGGGGGAGGGGGGGGGGAGCCCGGGCCCCTCCCCTAGATCCACCACCCGCCACTGGTCAACCTTGAAGCTCCACAGCACCTTTGTAACGCAATATTTACTACGGTAATATAACAACAACAACAAAAGACCTTTTTACCGATGTCACACTTTTCCGATTTTTTCACTCAAAAAAAAAAGAAAACAAAAAACAAAAAACGCACCACTCGACTTATCGTGCCGAATTTAGTAAATAGGTAAAGCCGGTGAGTTTCATTAGAATCCGTTTCAAACTCATAAAAATATGGGACCCTTACCTTAACAAAAAAATGTATGGCGGGTGACAAGCACTGACCTCTGGCGTAAATTTCCTTGTAGGATTGGGGTCCCATATTTTTACGGGTTTGCAATGGATTCTTGTACATGTAATACTTCGTAGATTTACCAAATTCGGCATGATAGATGGGACTATGCAGGGTATTTATTTGTGTATCAGAAAAATACGAAAAATTGTTGACATTGAGTGAGATCGGTAAAAAGTTCCATTTATGAAGGTATTTCTGCATAGCAATACATAGCATTGCCTATTTAAACTAAAGGAAATAGGGTAGTACCTGAAATAAGGGCAAATCTTATTTTTAACAAGAAAACACTGCGATAAAATGAAAAATGTTTAAACCATTTTAGTTTAAAATTAATGACAACGTTTCGACGTTTCCTTAATGTCATTATCAAGTCAAAGATGGGTTAAGTTCCTTGATGAATAGCATCTGAAAAACTTTAGCATCGGAAAAACACTATAAGGCAGCATCCAGTTATGCCGGAGAAATTTGAAAACGCATCCCTTTATTTTGATCTATTCTGAATTGCGTGACTCTCAAAACCAGCAATAAAATAAGTTTAATCCAGTGTGGGTAATGAGATATAATGATGACGTCACAAAAAAACTAGAGCCCATTCTTCCAATTGCTCGGTGGTGGGAGCAAAAAAGGCCAAATTTTACAACTTTGAAAATTCATAGAAAATTAACGAAAATAGCTACAACGATAATTTTTTCGAAGGGGTGATCAGAAAAACAAGGAGATTTATATAAGTGAAAAAAAATTGGGGGTTAGTTGCACTTTAAGATTCAAAGAGTATTTGGCTTTAGAAAAGAACTAATTGGGGACACTAGTTACAAAACGTATTCCTACTTACCTTATGAGTATGACCTGAGAAGGCATATCGCGGCTTCACAGCATTAATTAACTACAATGTGAGAGAAAACGAAACTTTATTCAATTAAATAAGAAAAAATCTAACATTCAAATTGATAAACTACGTAACCCGCGGAAAAGGTGGCTATTTTTGCGCGGGGTTGCAAAGGACTGGCAAAGGCGCGACTCACAAGTGTTCGAACATCATAGTTTATGCTGTTTCAGTGATCATATATGAACGCGGGTGTTGAATTGATAACTTCATATTAAGCGCCCATGTTGGCATAGCACAAATGTAACGTGCTCTTGCAAAAAAATTAAATTTTTCAAGCAAGGGCAAAAAATTAACGAAATGTGTACGTAAAGAAGAGGTAGGTCCTCAATACATACATATTAGTACGTACTGTATATTAATTAATGCCATGTAATGTCATACATACTGTATTTAGGCCAGAGAAATAATCAGAAGATCATTGCTAGAGACAAGTTAAAACAAAGAGAATACACATTTGTATTACATAGACAAGAGTGTTAAAAACAACATTCTACTCATTCGCTGCACTTGTTCATAAAATATTTTTGCTAAACCACTCAGAAATAAAATTCAAATCTTTGCACCACTGACTGTGTAATACCCTCTATTTAATTTCTATCTAATGAGGTTATACATGATGTAATTGATGAGGCAAAAGGCTGGATCTGCTCTCACTTTATAGAAATCAAGAGTGCATAAAATGATAGTACTGTATTTCTAAATTAAATTATCTATTATTAGATTTTAACTTATTTAAGTAACAGTTTCCTAAAGAAAACTTACCTTCATCATTGGACCAACTTGATATTTATTGGTAAGTCCTAGGGGAACATGTCCAATCAAAATAGAAATTTTATCCTTGTGAAGCTTTAATGGCAACTCTTTAATAAAGTTCATTGTATTGTTGTAGTTTGTCTGCTCATCTCTGAGAGGCCATCTCCTTAAAAAGCTCAAGGAATTTATCTGTGGAAGATCAGTTGCAACAGTCATACAGGTTAAACTTTCAAGTTTCAAGGTTAATTTCAAGCTTCATCCCAGGGAGACTTCACGCTTGCACATACCCGCTCTTATGAATATTGTGCCACAACCCCCCTCCCCCCACTGTCCTCTCCATTAGGACAAAGGAAGGCCCAATGGAACTAATAACTCATTGAAAATGCATAATGTAAGTATCTTCCTGCTATGATGTAGATACTGGAAAAATACAGCAAAATTAAATGTCCTTTAAGTAATTTAAGAATAATGCAACTGAACATGCTAATTAATTTTAAGCCAGGTATCACAGCACTGGACTTTAATTGCTTTACCTTTTATATAATTTGAACAAATGAGGGCGGGGAAGTTTGGCTGTCAGATATATATCAAACAATGCTCTTCTGATGAAGCTACATGAACAAAGCCAGACAAAAGCAATTCATTGGTACCATGAATTAATTGTGCAGTGAAATATTGGGCCATGCTGCACTAATGTTATCTACACTTGAGATTTAACAGTGTTGACAACAAACCTAGAATTGCTCTTGAGTGTAGTAACAAAAGCACGAATGTTCAAAGGAAAAAAATCAATTCAATCAATCAAAACTTTATGAACATGTCAATTATTCCACGGGCACACTTTGGATATGAGTGGCTATAATCATCTTAAAGCACCCAAAAAAAATCATCGTACCATATATTTGTTGAGCATGGTATGCATGGCTCATAACCCATGATGGCTAAGCCAATGAAAACTCTCAAATTGTACCGTGATCCAGTTTTTAAAACTATTGGGAAAACCTAGTAGAAAACACAGGTTTACCTTCACTATCTGGAGAGACTTCAGTCTTAGGATATCATTTATAGGGCCAAAGTTCTCTGAGAATCTTGACACTGTTTTTTCTGTAATAATATCCCTCGATTCACCTCCAATATCATTGTCGCCAGCAACATGGATCCTGGAAATTCTATCAGGGGTGTTAAAAATTTTATCATGTCTGACCTAAAAGAAAAGGATTTTGGAGTCCATTAGCAGTGCTCTTCTATCTAAAATTAGAATACATTTTGTTATAATTATACATCAGTTTAGTTACTAGTGTCCACAAGTTACAAAGTTAACATTCTTTACCAATATTGTTTGAATTACATTTGCAACTTATAACAGCCAACTTTTACCCCTTAGGAGTAAATATCACACCAGTACTGGGTGGAAAATTTCATCTTATGCCTACTCAAACTTAGGGAATCACATGCTCACTTCCAAGCCAGCCATCATAAATTCACAAATTCAGTCAAAACTTGACTTGTATGATTGAGTCTCATCTTCTTAGTTAATCGCAAGTTAACTGGCTAATTGTTTGAATAATGTAGTGTTATTAGTTCAAGTACTTTCAGATTTTGATCTGTCTGACAGTTTCTTTAAATTACCTTGTACTCCTGAAATTCATCATCAGTAGCAATGTATCCTTCATCTAACAAGTCACCTTGAATATTAGTTAAACCAATTTTGTATCAGAGGGGTCATTGACAGTTACTGCTACTACTGAATGATCAACAGTCACCACTGACTGAACCTGTTTGTAAATCAACCCCAAATCTTTCATAAATAATATTTAAAAGAAATCATAAAGAAATTTTGTGGTAATTTTAATTAACTAGTAAGAAATTACCTTTTTAAGTTAGTATGGTTTCTTTAAATATTACAGTCAAACTTCTATTAAGCGGCCACCAGTATTAAGCAGCCACACCTTATAATATAAGTGCCCAGTTATCCCAAAATCATTGTAAGTAAACTACTGAAAATAAAACCCCTATCAACCAGCCACCTGTATGAAGCAACCACGGCCACCTTTTGGTTAACCCGATGAGGGTCTTTCTAATTTGCCTTGACCCCTTTTGAATGGCCATCCAAAATTTATTATTAACTTTGTTTTGGAAAAGGTGATGGCAGATAAGAGTCCAAAATAGAAGGGGACGAGTGGTAAAAATATTCAAATACACTTTTACCATGGTGATCGTCTTGAGGTGACTTCATGTTCACTAAGAAATTCACCAAATTGTGAAAAATATTCAAAAAAAACCTCGATTAAGCGGCCACTTCCCTTTTCCCCAAGGGTGGCTGCTTAATAGAGGTTTGACTGTCTTTATGAAAGATTTGACCTCGTATGATGGCATGTTTACTTGGTGAATTGCTTAAATTAACAAAACCTAATTTTTAAAGAAATTAAGTGACTAAATATAGAATTTGCTTAGACTTCTAGTTAAGAAATAACATCTGTTGAACTATCTGTAGACACACAAACAAGTAAAAAAGCCAGAAAATCATATCATTTGCGAAAAAAGAGTCAATGTCTTAAATATGATTGTACATAATAGATCTGTTAAGCAATTCACCAAATAGACATGCCATCATATGAGGTCAAATCTTTCATAAAGACAGTCAAACCTCTATTAAGCAGCCACCCTTGGGGAAAAGGGAAGTGGCCGCTTAATCGAGGTTTTTTTGAATATTTTTCACAATTTGGTGAATTTCTTAGTGAACATGGAGTCACCTCAAGACGATCACCATGGTAAACGTGTATTTGAGTATTTTTATCACTCGTCCCCTTCTATTTTGGACTCTTATCTGCCATCGCCTTTTCCAAAACAAAGTTAATAATAAATTTTGGATGGCCATTTAAAAGGGGTCAAGGCAAATTAGAAAGACCCTCATTGGGTTAACCAAAAGGTGGCCGTGGTTGCTTCATACAGGTGGCTGGTTGATAGGGGTTTTATTTTCAGTAGTTTACTTACAATGATTTTGGGATAAGTGGGCACTTATTAAGGTGTGGCTGCTTAATACTGGTGGCCGCTTAATAGAAGTTTGACTGTAATATTTAAAGAAACCATACTAACTTAAAAAGGTAATTTCTTACTAGTTAATTAAAATCACCACAAAATTTCTTTATGATTTCTTTTAAATATTATTTATGAAAGATTTGGGGTTGATTTACAAACAGGTTCAGTCAGTGGTGACTGTTGATCATTCAGTAGTAGCAGTAACTGTCGATGACCCCTCTGATACAAAATTGGTTTAACTAATATTCAAGGTGACTTGTTAGATGAAGGATACATTGCTACTGATGATGAATTTCAGGAGTACAAGGTAATTTAAAGAAACTGTCAAACAGATCAAAATCTGAAAGTACTTGAACTAATAACACTACATTATTCAAACAATTAGCCAGTTAACTTGCGATTAACTAAGAAGATGAGACTCAATCATACAAGTCAAGTTTTGACTGAATTTGTGAATTTATGATGGCTGGCTTGGAAGTGAGCATGTGATTCCCTAAGTTTGAGTAGGCATAAGATGAAATTTTCCACCCAGTACTGGTGTGATATTTACTCCTAAGGGGTAAAAGTTGGCTGTTATAAGTTGCAAATGTAATTCAAACAATATTGGTAAAGAATGTTAACTTTGTAACTTGTGGACACTAGTAACTAAACTGATGTATAATTATAACAAAATGTATTCTAATTTTAGATAGAAGAGCACTGCTAATGGACTCCAAAATCCTTTTCTTTTAGGTCAGACATGATAAAATTTTTAACACCCCTGATAGAATTTCCAGGATCCATGTTGCTGGCGACAATGATATTGGAGGTGAATCGAGGGATATTATTACAGAAAAAACAGTGTCAAGATTCTCAGAGAACTTTGGCCCTATAAATGATATCCTAAGACTGAAGTCTCTCCAGATAGTGAAGGTAAACCTGTGTTTTCTACTAGGTTTTCCCAATAGTTTTAAAAACTGGATCACGGTACAATTTGAGAGTTTTCATTGGCTTAGCCATCATGGGTTATGAGCCATGCATACCATGCTCAACAAATATATGGTACGATGATTTTTTTTGGGTGCTTTAAGATGATTATAGCCACTCATATCCAAAGTGTGCCCGTGGAATAATTGACATGTTCATAAAGTTTTGATTGATTGAATTGATTTTTTTCCTTTGAACATTCGTGCTTTTGTTACTACACTCAAGAGCAATTCTAGGTTTGTTGTCAACACTGTTAAATCTCAAGTGTAGATAACATTAGTGCAGCATGGCCCAATATTTCACTGCACAATTAATTCATGGTACCAATGAATTGCTTTTGTCTGGCTTTGTTCATGTAGCTTCATCAGAAGAGCATTGTTTGATATATATCTGACAGCCAAACTTCCCCGCCCTCATTTGTTCAAATTATATAAAAGGTAAAGCAATTAAAGTCCAGTGCTGTGATACCTGGCTTAAAATTAATTAGCATGTTCAGTTGCATTATTCTTAAATTACTTAAAGGACATTTAATTTTGCTGTATTTTTCCAGTATCTACATCATAGCAGGAAGATACTTACATTATGCATTTTCAATGAGTTATTAGTTCCATTGGGCCTTCCTTT